AAGAAGGGATGTTGTATTTTACAAAACTTTTTCTGCATCTATTGATATGGTCATATGGTTTTATTTTTTCCTTCTATTTTTAAAAGAATTATTTTATTTAACTTTACCTATCTATTTATTTATTTTAATTTGACCAGAGAGGGACAGAGAGAGAGGGAAAGTGAGAAAACAAGTGTCAGGTTTGGGATCCAAATCGCAGTTGGCCATGTGAGAGTCCACTGCCCTTAACTATCATGCTGCCTGCCGGCCCTTATTTTTTTCTTCTGTTAATGTGATGTATTATGTTTTTTTGTTTTGTGTATGTTGAAACACCCTTGCATCCCTGGAATAAAGCCTTCCAGATCATGTTGTTTCTGGGTACTGTTTGGTAGTTTCTTGTTGAAAAGTTTTGCATCTATATTCATCAGGGATATCAGTCTGTAGTTTTCCTCTTTTGTTGTGTCTTTGTTTTTTTCTGTTTTGTTTTGTTTTGCCTATGATATATTATGAGTCTGTAACCAATGAACAAATCAGAAATAATCATGGGATATGTAGACAAGCAGGAAATTCAGAATTAAACAAGTCATTACACACAAAATTATAAAGGAAAATAAGATTTCTAAGATTGGATAATTGCTTTGCTTTTAGAGAATAAATGCTATACCTAAAACACTTGGGTCCAAACCTGAGCTTCTCTTTCTTAAACGTCACACGAACAATTCAAACAACAACAACAATCAGAATGAGGCACACTGGTCTCCTAACATTAATTGTCCCATGAAGTCGTTCTTTCACAGAAGTAAATATCACCCAGATGCAGAGTACATTACTCAAATGGACAACACTTCATTGTGAATTGGATTTACCCAGATTCTTACTGTTTGACATCCTGCTTCCTGGTGAACATACACGGTGTGTTCTCCATCCTCTGTCTCACTCTCCTCAACCAAAAATGGTTTTCTGGAGAATATTTCCTTAGAAGTATTCCCATATTTTTTTCCAATATTTAATATCCCTCCCAAGTTGGGAAAATGGTTTACATACTGTACCATCACTCCTGCTTTATCTGTCTTTCCAGACCCACTTTCCCCTCTAGGCTAAAGACCTTGCTTGTCAGCAGGGACACTACTTCCCACATTATAATAATATGAGCTTTTTCTCTATGTGACTGCCTGTTTCTGGTCATGGTAAATAGGTTCTGTGGTTTCAGATGGGGAGGAGGTGGGAGAAGTATTTCTATTTTTACTTAAAGCAATTTCTTAATGATCATTTAGACAATCAAGAATATTAATTAATATAAACATGACCCCATGCACCCATACACACTCAGATTTAATGAATATTGACATGTTGCTCTACTCGTTTCTGATTTTTTTTTTTTAAAACAACTTAGACCATTGCAGGCATAGCTAAAGCACCATCCCACCCCTCTCATTTTCCTTCCTCCTTTCTTTAGGATCAGTAAGGATGGCCATGCCACAATCCTTTTTTCTTCATTCTCTTTTTGGGATTTTTGGGCATGCACACACCCATGCCTGGTGTGATCTTTCAAGTCGCCAGGTTTGGGACTAGAACTGTGGTTAGCCATGTGGGAATCCAGTGCCCTAATCACCATGCCACCTGCTTGCCCATGTTATACCTATTTTAACTCAAAATTAATTTTAAAGATCTATCATTTAGACACATGTGATATAGAGTTCATTCATTTTTGCTGATGGATAGAATTATATAGTAAACTAATATCTGCTTATCCATCTCTTTTTTCATTTATATTTAATCACTATTTTTTACAGCATTCTCAAATATGTAGATTCTCAAAGCATAAATTAATTGCATGTCAAGCAAAGATATTATCACACACAATAACTTTTTAGTCTTGTGTCTGTTAAACTTTTTAATTTATTTGTTTCTTAAATACAACAGTCTGTTCTTGGGTACTTAGGTTGATTCCACGTCTCAGCAGTCGTGAATAACGCTGCAATGAACATGGATGCGCAAGTGTCTTTCTGACTGTTTTTCTATCCTTAAGGTAAGTACCCTGGAGTTGTATTACTGGGTCATACGGGAGTTCTATCTGTAGGTCTTTGAGGAACCTCCTTGTTGTTCTCTACATTGGCTGTCTATGTTCCTGCCATAGTGTAGGAGGGTTTCCCTTTCACCACAACCTCACCAGCGCATGTTATTTATTGTTTTGATCATAACCATTCCAATTCGGATTAAATGGTGTTGTATTGTGGTTTTAATTTGCATTTCCCTTATAATAAGAGATGTTGAACAATTTTTCATACGCCTTTTGGCCACTCATATGTCTTCCTTGAAAATGGTCTGTTCAGCTCATTTGCCCACTTTTTAAATGGATTTTTTTTTTCAGATAAGCTGCTTGAGTTCCCTACATGTTCTGGTTATCAGACCATTATCTGAAGCATAATTTGCAAATATTCTCTTCACTGTGATTATTGTTTCCTTTGCTATGCAGAAGCTTTATCAACCTTGTGTTCTATTTTTTTTTTTTTTGGTTTATTTTCTGTGCTTTTGGAATCTTATTTAAGAAATCTTTGCCTACTCCAGTATCTTCAACAGTTTCTCCCAACCAGGAGTTTTATAGTTTGAGTCTTCATGTTTAGATTGTTGATCCATTTTGAGTTGACTTTTGTTAATGATGAGAGATAGGTGTCCAGTCTCATTTTCCTGCAGGTAGATATCCAATTCTTCCAACACCATTTGTTGAAGAGACTTTCCTTTCTCCACCAAATTGCCTTGTGTCCTTTGTCAAAAATCAGTTGGTTATATGTTTTTAAGTTTATTTCTGGGGTCTCTATTCTGTTCCATTGGTCTATGTGTCTGTTTTTGTGCGGCTACCATGCTGTTTTGATTATCATAGCTTTGTAATATAGTTTGAGGTTGAACAGTGAGATACTTCCTACTTTATTATTTTTTGTGCACAGTATTGTTTTGGTGATATGGGGCTTTTTATGATTCCAGACAAATTTTAAGACTGTTTTATCTATTTCTGTGAAGAATATCCCCAGTAATTTTATTACAATTGCACTGAATTTGCAAATTAATTTGAGTTTTTAAAATGTTTTCTAGCTTTGTTTAACATTCCACATTATATTCATAAATCACAACATCTCCTTGTGCCACATAAATTAATCGAAGTATAATTTGTCAGTTTTCAATTATAAATAAATATTTTTGAAAATCAAATAGTAATGAGTGACACAAAGTAACCAAGAAAAGAATAAATGGGAGAGGAGGGGAAATGGGACTACTTTCTTGTCATGGACTTTATCTTTTTATACTTAAATTTTGAAGGAAGAAATCTAAAAACATAAAAATGTTGAATGAACATGTAGTGGCATAAATATCATGCTAGTGGCTGGGTCTTGGGTCATTGCCTGTGCTTGTACTAGAGTTAGTCTTTCTGTTTTCTTTCTGTTGATACAAAAACAATACGTATATAAGACAAACCAAACAAAACCCAGATTATATCCAAAGATAATGATATTTGAATTGAAATATTTCCCCAACCAAAATTCCCCTAGTTATTTCAAAGGGCACTGTCAGTATTAAAGGAGAAATTTTGTACTTTGCTCTTGGTAAGTGAAAGTTTCCATGTAGTTCAACATATAATCAACAAATTCACCCAGTCTTAAATCTTATTTGACAAGATATCATTTTCTGAATAAAGATACCATCACACATTAAAATATCCTTGCATTTTTAGTTGAGTAATAGTCTTAAAACTCTGATGTATATTAAAAATTGTCCACAAAAATTAAACATATATACAGATCAATGTATTTTTAAATAGCATATGCAAGATTAGTGAAAAAGCTTTCAGCTTTTCCCCTTTCAATACAAGGCTATCAGTCTTCATATATGGCTTTTATTGTGCTGAGAAATGTTTCTTCTATGCCAATTTTGCTGAAGGTCTTAATCAAGAAGGGATGTTGTATTTTACAAAACTTTTTCTGCATCTATTGATATGGTCATATGGTTTTATTTTTTCCTTCTATTTTTAAAAGAATTATTTTATTTAACTTTACCTATCTATTTATTTATTTTAATTTGACCAGAGAGGGACAGAGAGAGAGGGAAAGTGAGAAAACAAGTGTCAGGTTTGGGATCCAAATCGCAGTTGGCCATGTGAGAGTCCACTGCCCTTAACTATCATGCTGCCTGCCGGCCCTTATTTTTTCTTCTGTTAATGTGATGTATTATGTTTTTTTGTTTTGTGTATGTTGAAACACCCTTGCATCCCTGGAATAAAGCCTTCCAGATCATGTTGTTTCTGGGTACTGTTTGGTAGTTTCTTGTTGAAAAGTTTTGCATCTATATTCATCAGGGATATCAGTCTGTAGTTTTCCTCTTTTGTTGTGTCTTTGTTTTTTTCTGTTTTGTTTTGTTTTGCCTATGATATATTATGAGTCTGTAACCAATGAACAAATCAGAAATAATCATGGGATATGTAGACAAGCAGGAAATTCAGAATTAAACAAGTCATTACACACAAAATTATAAAGGAAAATAAGATTTCTAAGATTGGATAATTGCTTTGCTTTTAGAGAATAAATGCTATACCTAAAACACTTGGGTCCAAACCTGAGCTTCTCTTTTTACCAGGTTGTGAGAATGTTTATGTCAGCCATATTATGTGAAAAGTATAGACAATGACAGTGTCTCCCTCTCTCACATAGTTAAGACTACTGATTCAGTAACTATAAATCAGCTATTAGAAGAGTGTATCAGAAAAATATTTGCTAAACATTAACTGCTAATATTACCATTTACAGCGACAGGGACCAGGTTAAGAAAGAAAATAGCTGTATAGTCTAAAACTACATTGTTTCCCTACCATATTTGAGTTCGAAAGAGATGGTAAACATAAAAAAAAAAAGTGATGAAGACATTCCCTAAGTAAAAATAACATTTCTGTCATAGTATGACACAATCATCATTTCTTATTCCAAGACATTCCCCTTTTTCCTTTCAACTTTTCTTCCCAGTGCCCTTTAAGCATGAGGCTGGACAACCAGAGCAACGTGTCTGAGTTCTTCCTCCTGGGGCTCCCCATCCGGCCAGAGCAGCAAGGACTGTTCTTCGCCCTGTTCCTGGGCATGTACCTGACCACAGTTTTGGGGAATCTGCTCATCATCTTCCTCATCTGGCTGGACTCCCGCCTGCACACCCCCATGTACTTCTTCCTCAGCCACTTGGCTTTTACTGATATCACTTTCTCTTCTGTAACTGTTCCGAAGATGCTGATGAACATGCAGACCCAGCACCTATCTATCCCTTACAAGGGGTGCATTTCACAGACATATTTTTTCATATTTTTTGCTGACTTGGACAGTTTTCTTATCACTTCAATGGCCTATGACAGGTATGTGGCCATCTGCCAACCTCTACATTATACCACCATCATGAGTCAGAGCCTTTGTGTCATGCTAGTGGCTGGGTCTTGGGTCATTGCCTGTGCTTGTGCTCTTTTGCACACCCTTCTCCTGGCCAAACTTTCTTTCTGTGCTGACGACCTCATTCCCCATTTCTTCTGTGACCTTGGTGCCTTGCTCAAGCTGTCCTGCTCAGACATCTCTCTCAATGAACTGGTAATCTTTACTGCAGGATTAGCAGCCATTATGCTTCCATTCCTATGCATTCTGGTTTCTTATGGTCGTATTGGCATCACCATCTTCCGTGTTCCCTCTGCCAAGGGAATCTGCAAAGCCTTGTCCACTTGTGGATCCCATCTCTCGGTGGTAACACTCTATTATGGGGCAATTATTGGTCTCTATTTTCTTCCCTCATCCAGCAACACTGATGACAAGAATATCATTGCTTCAGTGATGTATGCTGTAGTCACTCCCATGTTGAACCCCTTTATTTATAGTCTGAGAAATAAAGACATGAAAGGAGCCTTAAGAAAACTCTTTAGCAAGAAAACATATTCTTCCAGCTGATGCTTACTTAAAAAAAATCATGAAGTCTTTTTCCCACAACAGCATGTAAATTATTGAATCTGTAGCTCATTTTTCTTTCTTTCACTGTCACTGAGCTGTCACTCAGAAATGCTTTGCTGACATTTTTCTTACATCTATTAAGAGAAATAGTATAACAGGTTATGTTTTATAGGACTTTCTTTGCTCTAAATACTCTAAGGATGCTGTGTCACTTTGGTATCATTAAAAGGAAGTTGGATTTTAAATTTGCTATAAAATGTTTCTGTCCTTTCATACCTCCATGTCTAAGGAATTTTCCACATTTGTGAAGATATGACTCTTCCTTCACCCAGGAACCCACAAATCCAGAGACCCTGAACCCTTCTAGAACTTGCAGGGAGAAAATAATAAATTTTACTCTCCTTTCCTAATAATTAACATGCTACTTTCTTATCCTTTCAGTGTATATTAAACTCTTTTTCTTTTTCTTTTTTTTTTTTTGAGAGGTTTTCACTATAGGGCGCATGTGCTCGCCAGACAGATAGAGAGAGACAGAGAGACAGAAAGCGAGAAATCACCCTCCAGGGGGTATGGCCATGCCGCAATCCTTTCTCCTCCATTCTCCTCTTGGGATCTTGGGCATGCACGTACACGCGCCCGGCATGAGTTTTAAGCCACCGGGTCCAGGACGCGAACTGCGGTTGACTACATGGGAGTCCAGCGACATAGCCATTACTCTAACTGCTGGTCCCGATGTGTATATTAAACTCTTAAGCCAATATGAGAGAGAGAGAGAGAGATTACAATGGAATTGTGTTTGGAGAATACCTTCATTTATTTTCATGGTATTACAATGAAATTATTTTTTTTTCCCTATGGAGCACAAATCGGTATGTGAGAGAGAGGATTGTTCTGAACCCACTTTAATTCTTCCCAAGAAGACTTTTTAGAAGGTCAATGAGACTTCAAGACATAGAATAAAAATTCTAAATGGAATTCACTACCACACAACCATGGGTTGTGAGGAAAAATGGTCACAGGAAGAAAATATATTTTAGCCATATCACAGAGGGTGTGTGAAAAGACATTCCAGGTGTCTATTAATATCCTTTGATCTAGTACTGACAAGAAATGAATTATTTTTAACCATCATCCAGCCTGAGAGAAGTAAAAATGTCTTTGATATGATGGTGATCAGAGAAGCACATTCTGGCACCCCTTTCTTTTCTTTTGCTCTCCATGATCCAGCTCAGAAAAGTGAGCTCAGTATCTGCAAAACCCTTGAAAAACTGGGCCACAAAAGAGGTAATATATCATTATGACCCTTTTCTTGATCTCAAATTCTTGCCTGCTGCTGAGAAGAGAATCAAATTGAGACAGGGTTTGTGGTGAAAAAATAATCTAAATCCTTTCTAATGCTTAAGAGTTAGAAGAGAATGTATGAGGTTCATCAGAGTTTTTATTCTTCAAAAGAGGAAAACAATCCTCTGCTAAATAAATTTTGAAATAATAGCAGGAGATATTGATATCTCCTGAGTAGCACTTCTTCAATATTCCAAGTACTAGGTGTGATAGACTGGATTATTGTATAAACAGATATTTATTCCTCCCTCTTTTCTCCCTTGATAGAACTACACTTTCCCATTCCTTTGATGTTCACATTGCCCTTGGAATATGAGGGCTTGCTTTGGTTTAGATAACAGTTTGTTCCCCAAGGGTTCATGTGTTATAATTTGGTCCTATGTTATGGCTTTGGAAAGTGGTGAACATTTTAAGAAGAAAACCTGTCTTTAATGTGGGCAGACACCTTACCAAGCAAGAATGACATGTGAGTCAATGGACAGGGGGAGGAAGAATTGCAGGCACCAACTAATCATCTGGAAGCAAGGGAGGGACAAATAGAGGAAGTGGAAGTGTCTAATTCCTCTTTCAGTCTCTCTCTCTGCACATGCTCACAGATCTTGGCTTTTCTCAGCCATATTGTGACATAGCTCTGGAGTCTAACCATGAGCCAACCCCATGCTCTTGGACTTTTCAGAATCATGATCCAAATAATACTCTATTCTTTATAAGTTACCCAGTCTCATTATTTTTGTTTCGCAACACAATGATGAAATACCCTTGTGTGTCACTTAGCTCTTGCCACAGAAAAACTTGAATAACCGTATTACAAATGGATTCAGGATGGTTTAGTCTGGCTCTCTTACCTCCTACCTTATCATGTTTGAAGACCACAGGGTAAACAACTTATGTTATCATTCGTACTGAACTTACTATATGATTATGACTTTGCTGTTTACACCATTGAATGTAATACACATGTATGTGTGTGCACATTACACTTGGTTTGTCAATGAGCCACTATTGTCTGCAGCCCCTTTAAGAGAAAGGAGCACCTGGTAAGCTAGCTGTGGGTTGCCCTGCTAGCTAACCCTGCTCAGCTCAGCCTTGATTCAGCCTGGTAAACCCTAATGGCCTTGGTTTGGTTTGACCTTGGCTTGGCTTAGCTCAACTCCATGCTGTGAGGTCTGAGACAGAGAAAGCAGTTCTGTGAGTGTTCTCCACATGCATTACTAACTCTGACAGGGAGGACGCTGCTCTGTGAGTATTCTCCACTTGCGTTACTAACTCTAAGAGGGAGGAAGCTTGCAAGTGCTGCTATGGGCTTTGAGAAACTACTAAGAGCTTTGTGAGCTCACCTTGAACTTGGGCAATAAACAACATGTTATCAGTGTTTCACATCTTTTTCAAACTTTCTGCATCTCTGTTTGACCCACCCTTCAAAAAAGAATTTTGCAAAACAATGATAAAAAGCCACAAAATCTCAGTAGCATTCAACAATAAGCTTTTGTGTTGCTTATAAATCTAAAGTTTGTTTTGGGCTTAGCTGATCTAGTGTGGAATGGTGGTTTTATTAATCTTGGCTGGTTTTACTACTGCTTCTGTGGCCATTAGCAGGTTAGCTATTTAAAATGGCCTCATCTGGGATGACTTTGTCCCACACATTCCTCATCATGCTCCTAAGACCTGTGCATACACACTCTCTTCTCCTACCAATCCCTCCTTTCTTGCTGTCCATATGCCCTGTACAAGGGTGTATGTCATTAACTTAGCATCACATTCATCTACCTTTAAAGTCTCTTCCACACTGTAGTGGTGAGATCAGGAATTATATTGTCCAGATGTCCCTGTTCTCTATCATTCTTATTTCATGTTCTTCAACAAGGTAACTTATGAGAGATTTAGATGACAGAAGAGGAGAAGGCTTTGCTCTTTGGAGGTAGTTGTAGCCAGAAACATAGACTTGAGATTTACAGTATATTCTCACTGAACTCCTAAGTGCCACCTGCTTTTCTGCTGAAGACCAAGATAGTTGGGGAGAGTTTTTTGGTGATTTTTTGAGATTTGCAGCTAAAGGCTATTAACCTTTTGAAATAGCCACTATCTGTCTATTAACCACAAATTCTATGTTTTAGACCAAAATCTCCAATTTTAGGTCTTTTTGATCTTTAAGAGTAACTTTCTTAACCTCTGTTACCCAGATATTTCAATAGTTGTCTGAGCAAGCATGTTTATTCTACTCTCCTGAATGAGTCCTACTGATACACTTCCACTTGAAAATTGTCCATCATTTTTTGGAGTACAGATGAAATTCTAAGTCTTATCTGATTAATATTTTCATTTATAGTCAAGATGCTTTGATTTAACTGGAACATCTGTATTAGTAATCTGACTCTTTTAGTACCAAGCAGTGCAGATTGAGGGACACTCATTGGCACAGCTGTAGGAAAATGTCAGAGAATCAGTTCTGAGCACTTGCTAAAAAGAAGTGATTTTAAGGAGTGTAAATTTTATGAATGATAGGTTGAGCCTCTAAAAGTATTAATCATTAGGTTATATGGAACGAGAGTACTTCCATGAATTCAAAATTCTGTAGATTTTTTTTTTTGTCTAATATTTACCTTTAAGTGTTCCTGGTTGCCACAACATATGTCATCACTTCCAAGTCCTGAGAAAAATCCAAGAAATAAAATTTTCACAGTGAAAAATTTTATAAGTCATGACACAGTCATTCCTGTGGACATTCTTCCAGAATAATTAGCTGTTAACATGAAATCAGAGAAGGCTATAGGGAGAGCTACACTTTGAACTGGGTCATCAATGAATTTGCTAGGTGTAAGTTTTAGAAAGAACATGTCAGCAATCATTCTTCTCTACTTGTTGCATTCCATTCCCTGGGTAGATCACAGATTCTGCGAAGACATAGTCTCTACCATACCTATTTTATTTGTGTAATTTCACTTATCTGTCTGAGATACATAGATTACAGTATCTGGTGTCTAAAGTTATTCCAAAAGAAAAAGAATGCTCACCAAAAAAGTAATGATAAACACTTGAGATAGTGTACCTGTTTATTGCCCCAATTTGATCTTTATACATTGTATCCATGTATTGAAAAACCACATTATACCTTGAAAATATGAACAACTATTAAATGTTAATTTAAAGGTATAATATATTAATAAACAGAGTTCTTATGTCATGTTAACATATGGACAATATGGACAACTTCTCCATTTCTAAATTCCTAAATTCTTTCAATTCTATTTTCTATCCACTGTTTTGAAATAGATTTGGCAACTTTTTAGTGACCAATTATACTTTATGGATGATACCTTAACTACAAACTCAGACTTCTAATGATAGAAGTAAAAGCACAATGGCTACTAGTGGAAATGACTTTGTGGAGGGGTAGAAAACAGAAGTCAGTTGTTCCTTGAGAGTAGTATACTTCACTGCTTTTTAAAATTTTTTAAAATTTTAATTTAAATGTAATCACATATATCTTTACCATGGACTATTCTTGAGAATTGTTTTTAATATTTTGTTTTCATTTCAGTGAACTAAAATAATTATGGATAATTTCTTGATCATCATAATGATTTCCTTATAATGGAGGTACAAATATCTACTAATTGTGAGTTGAAATCTAATAGTTGTACAGATATCAGTGCAATCTTAAAAGTTGCTTTAATAAATCATACTTCTCATTTTCATATAGTTGAGATAATTTATGAATCTGATTTATTTAACCCATATGTATATAGAAAACAAAAAATGTTGAAATTGGTTATAAGATAACACATAAAAATTCTTATGTGGGGCCAGCAGGTGGCATGGTGATTCAGGTGCTGGATTCCTACATGGCCAACTACAGTTTGAGTCCTGGACCCTGTAGCTCAAAAATCACACCAGGTACATATGCATGTGTGCTGAAAATCCTGGGAGGAGAAAGAAGAAGGGATTGCAGCATGCTCATCCCCCATGAGGTTCTATTTCTCACTTTCCTTCTCACTGACTCTCTCTGTCTCTTTCCAGAAGCCTTAAGACAAAAACTTAAGAAACAAACAAACTTTTGTGTAACACCAGGAAAAAAATTAGAAAACAAAAAGATGCATGTTTGAGTGTCATTTTTTAATGAGAGTATTAGTGACAATTTGAATAGGATTATTCTTCCTCAACTGAATGTCCTGTGCATTTCAAGCAATTTAGCATCCCTGGCCTGCAAAAGCTAGTGGCAGTGCCAATGCTGAGCTAACTATAAATGTTCCCATTCCTATTTTTGTGTGTGTGAACAAAATTTTTATTTACACACTGTATCTAGAAGCAAATAAACTAATTCTTATACAATTAATTTCCAAAAATAGGTAAGAAATTACTATTATTGCTTTACAAACCAAAACGCATATGAAACTTAAAATAATTCATTCTTTGGTGTTCTCCCATGCCTTAACTTCCATACCTTTTTAATATCCCTTGGAGTTTCACCCCTTGTTTAAAACACCTGGAGAAGTTCACCGTCAGTATTTTAAATTATATCGATAATTTAAGTTGTTTTGGAAGAAAGCTAAGAGTCAGTTCTAGTAGTTACATTCCAATTAAGCATGATATTTAAAAAATATATTGCTGATCAGGGTGGTATTAGGGTGATGCAAATAAAGCACATGTGTGAAATTTGTCTCAAGTGCAAACTTTAAGAGGTGTCAAAAATCAGTAATTAAGATAAGTATTTTAATGCAATCTTTTATGAAATCATAATTAATACAAAAATACATAATGAAGAAAACATCAAAAAAATTTAAGACAGAACCTGACCCAGCACTTTCACATTCAGCTCACTCATTTCACTCCTGTTCCAACTCGATCTTTGTCACATTCAGTCTTTATCATTCTTCCTCTATTAGTGTATCATTTTTTTCCCTCTGGATCTTTATAGATTTTTCTCTCATCATTGCTTTCCTATTCGTTTTTGGTTATAGTGTCCAAAGTATGCTTTCTAAAATTTTTTTTAACTTATCTTTCCTTCTGTTTGTTTTGATCCTTTGATCTATAAGTTGATCCCTTTAACCAAATTTGGGGAATGTGGGACTTTTACTTCTTTACATAAATTTCCTGTCCTGTTATACTTTTCCCTTTACTCCTGTCACTCAAATGTCCAGAATTTAGACAACTTGCTTTAAAGCCAGATCTCACTGACTCTCTTTTCATCTTTCCTCACAATCATATTTCTCTGCTGCTCAGTTGAATGATTTCTTCTGATTTTTAAACTTCATTTACCTTTTCTTTCCGAAATCTTCCATCTGGCACTGAGCCTATCTAGTGATTTTTCCTTTAGCTATTGAATGTGTTAATTGTAGAGTTTTAAATGATCATCAGGACATGATAATTGTACATATTTATGGATAGAGCATGGTTTTACAGTGCTTTAACTAGTGTTTCCATCTTTCTGCATTTTTTCTGCTAAATTTGCCATGTGTTAACTCATAATCACGTTTTCATTGATGTAATTGAACAACATACTTATGATCACCACTTCCAAGTCTTTTTTGGCCAATTTCAGTATCTATGTTTTCTTGTAGACTGCTTATTTTAACTGCTCTTTTTTTTACTATGATGTGCTTTTATCCACTTCTTCATATGTTTAGTAATTTTCCAATATTTTCTAGAAATCTTGGATGATGTATTTTGTGTTTTACATTCTGCTCTTTTTTTTTTTTTTTTGGAGAGGTTTTTTTTGCTACAGGGCATGTGCGCTCACCAGACAGACAGAGAGAGACAGAGAGACAGAAAGCGAGAAATCACCCCCCAGGGAAGATGGCCACGCCACAATCCCTTCTCCTCCGTTCTCCTCTCGGGATCCTGGGCACGCACGCACGCACACACGCACGGTGTGAGTTTCAAGCCACCGGGTCCAGGACGCAAACCGCGGTCAATTACATGGGAGTTTAGGGACATAAGCCGTTACGCTAACTGCTGGTCCCACATTCTGCTCTTTAAAGGCTGTCAATGTTTGTTCTGGCAGACAATTAAATTACTTAGATACTTTTAGTCCCTTCAGACTTTCAAAGTTTGTTTTATTCTTTTATAAGGCAGATATTTTTCACTATATCCTTTATTCTTGGACATGGCCTTTACAGTAAGGCATGATCAAACTCCTAACAAGTAACTTTCACAGGTGAAAAAGTACCCCCTCCTTTTTAAAAAAAAATACTTTATTTAAATTTTATTTATTATTATTTTTAAAATTTTTACCAGAGAGAGACAGACAGCAAGAGGGAAAGTGAGAAAACAAGCTTCCAGGTTCAGTACTTGAACCACAGTTGGCCATGTGGGAGTCTAGCGCCTTAACCACCACACCACTTGCCAGCCCCTGTCCTCTCTGGTTTTACCATTAGCCTAATGTACCCATTATTTCATGGTCTCTAGCATCTCCATTGAGCTCTTATTTCTGCAACGGCCACTCTCTAATATCTGACAATGGTTCACTTTGGGCAGGGGAGCAAGATTTTTAAAATATCCACGTGTGTTATATGTCTCAGGATCTGATCTCACACAGAGTTTGGTGACCACTTCTACTCAATGCCTAGTGGCACAGAGCTAGTTACTAAACCTTTCTTAAATTAAGTTTCCCCCTCATCAATTAAATAAAACAGTAGATATGGGAATATTTGTCAAAGTAATCAGCTTATAGAAATGCTGTTAGGTAGCTTTGCCTTGAGCAGAGGCAGTTTCTCAAGGACTAAAGAAAAAACTTAGCCACTTCAGGTAGAAACATGGGATGAATATTTATGTAACTAGACAAGGAAGTCTCTTTTTCATTATTATTTTTTAAAAATGTGAAGGTGAATTAAATTATACTGAAATTGTGTTTGAATTCAGTTCAGGTTGCCCAGACTTCCTGATATCCTACCTAGCATTTCTTTAGCCTACACCCTGAAGAAGTGAACTTCCTAGTCAGAATGGACGGATCACCCACAATCACATCACAGCCTGGAAAGCCACTTTAAAATATCCACTCTCACTGCCATACCTTACAACTCACTGGCTTTCCTAGGACCTAGAAGGCTCCAGTAAAATTTCTTATGATCTTGAGATGAGGGTGGAAAATGGCAGAGGTGAGAGGGAGGGAATCAAGGGTAAAAAAGAAAGAGACAAAACATTTAAAAATACAAAATGGAAAATTATCTGAAGATAATATGTATGGTAATATCTTAAAACCAATATATAGTATGTGGATGGGATACGTATATATATATATATATATATATATGGATGGGAAAATTAATTTTGTATGCTGTAATGATGTACAGTGAATAAGTATAATAAATAAAAATAAATTTTAAAATTGCAAACAAAATTAAACTAGATTTTATTGAAATTTTTATTGAAGGTTACTAACAAAATAAATTCCAAATGTATGATAGCAAAACATTTAAGAAACAAAAAATGGAAAATTATCTGTTGAAGATAATATGTGTGGTAATATCTTTGAGTCAATATACAGTGTATTCTATTGAAGGTTACTAACAAAATAAATTCCAAATATATGACAACATTAATGCAAAAGTAAAAGCATAAAACTCTCAGAAGAAACACTTTGGTTATCTTGAGATGGACAAACTTTGCTATGAAAAACTATAAATTATAGTCCTCTATTAAAAAAATCTAAAAGTTGTGACTACATTATTAAAATTTTAAATACTTGCAATACTAGGGATACCATAGCAAAAAGAAAAATATAGGGAACCAGCAGTTAGCGTAATGGCTATGTCACTGGACTCCCACGTAGTCGACCACGGTTCACGTCCCGGACCCAGTGGCTTAAAACTCGCGCCGGGCGCATGTGCATGCGTGCCCAAGATCCCGAGAGGAGAATGGAGGAGAAAGGATTGCGGTGTGACCATCCCCCCGGGGGGTGATTTCTCATTTTCTGTCTCTATGTCTCTCTCTGTCTGTCTGGCGAGCGCACGCACCCTATAGCGAAAACCTCTCCAAAAAAAATAAAAAGAAAAGAAAAGAAAAATATATATAGGAAATGACTGTTTGTACAGGTATGTTTGTAAAAACTTTTCCAAATCACTTTAAGATCAATAACTAGGAAAGAAAAACAAACTATGTTCAAGTTAAAAGAAAGACTGAAGGAAGAGTGACACATCAAGATTCACTAAGAAACAATTCAGAAAGACAAAGATGCAATAAAAAGGGAAAGCAACCTCCATCATGGGAAAACTGTTCATCTCCTGAGTATATTTCCCAGAGCTCCTTTCATATCCCGATTCCTCAGACTATAGATAAAGGGATTTAGCATGGGCGTGACCAGAGTGTACAATACAGCCACAATGACATCCTTTACATTAGTGTTACTGGATGAGGGGAAAAAGTACAGTCCAATAATTGCTCCATAGTACAGAGACACCACAGAGAGGTGAGAGCCACATGTGGACAAGGCTTTGCAGATTCCCTTGATGGAAGGGGTTCTTAGGATGGTGGCCCCGATATGGCCATAAGAGACCAGGATACATATGAATGGAAGAGTAATGACCACCCCACCAACAGTGAGGATAACCACCTCATTGACTGTGGTGTCTGAGGTGGACAGCTTGAGTAAGGTGGAGAGGTCACAGAAGAAGTGTGGGAGAGTGTTGTCTCCACAGAAAGGGAGGCGAGCTAATAGCAGAGTGTGCAAAAGAGCACTGGCAAAGGATAAGACCCAGGATACAATTACTAGCAGGAGACAGAGGCTCTGATTCATGATGGTTGTGTAGTGGAGAGGGTGACAGATGGCCACATACCTGTCATAGGCCATCGAGGTGAGAAGGAAACTATCCAGGTCACCAAAGAATAGGAAAAAATACACCTGGGAAATGCACCCAGCATATGAGATGGATTTACTGTGTGTTTGCATATTCATAAGCATCTTTGGAGCTGTGACAGATGAGAAAGAGACATCAGTGAAGGCCAAGTGGCTGAGGAAGAAGTACATGGGGGTGTGGAGGTGAGAGTCCAGCCAGATAAGCAGGATGATGAGCAGGTTCCCCAGCACCGTGGTCAGATATATGCCCAGGAAAAGAGCATAGTAAATGCCTTGATCCTCTGGCCAGATGGGGAGCCCCAGCAGGAGGAACTCAGACACACTGCTCTGATTATACTTCTTCATGTTCTTCTCTTTTGCTAGAGATACAATAAAGGAGATGAATGTGAAAAAATGAGAAGGCATTGTGACTATACATAATGAAAATATGGTTTCGAACTAGACATTATGTACATTTTAGTCTGAATATCTGAAGCTTCTTGCCCTGCTCATGGACTCATGATGGTCTAGCATAACAATATGATTTGTCCACCTACAAACTAATACAGTCTCTTCTGGAGAAACTGTGAAACATCACAGTGATTATCAGCCCAGGTTCAAACTTCAGGAATCCATGAATTTATGATGGAAATCTGAGATTAGGAAATTAGGGTGCAAGAGTTGGTCAATAGCTAGGTAGTAGAAAAACTACTATAAGATCGCTAATGGTCTGTTGGTCTCTCTAAACCATTCCCAAGCTCCTGAAATACTTTGCCTAATGCTTTGTTTTTATGGATTGGATCAAGATAAAAGAAACCAGTGGGCTTCTATGGATATGCTAGATATTAGGATCTGGAGACCTCTCCTCACAACTTGAATGTGTAAGCAAAACTTAAAATAATATTACTTGGGCTAATATTTGAAGGAAAGACCAATGAGACTTAATGCAAGTTAAAAATAAACAAAAGGAAATATGTCTTTCCATTATCCTCTCAAAAGTTAGGTAGATCAGTCAAGGTAAATTAATCTACATGGAGATTTTCATCCTATTCATTCAAACTTTAGATAGCTACTCTACAAGGAACTATCTGTCATTCTCTGGTGTGAGGAGAAGTACAAATGATGTTATTCTACTTTAGAAAGGATCTTTTTTTTGGTCAAATTTTGACTTTTAGAAAAATGGGCAGATCAATGGTAGCATTATACTCAGTTGTTAACTCATTATCAACCATGATGATCCACAGGACCCAGAAACCATTCCAGAAATCTAAATATCTTACAAGATTTCTTCATTCAAACAGCAATTCCAAGTACAGAGTTATTTTTAACAGAAGTAGAACCAGCAGCATATGGTGGGCACATAGGCACACAAACGCACAACCATATACAGTCACATGACTCCTCCTCACACATGGTGGTGGCATACATACCTTCAGTTACTAGGCATGAGAAGCTTTCTTTCTAGAAGACACAGAGTACTACAAAATCCGGGGCATTGCTAAGGGTTGTTCAAAGCTGCATTGCAATAGGCAGAGGAGTTACCAGTTCAAAACTGGGCAATATAGATATATCAATGCACCCTTGTTTATAGCTCCTAAGAAATCAGCATGAGTTCTAACTTTTCAAACCACAGAGAGTACCTGGGAGGAAATCCCCTCATGCCCAGATCCAAATTAGATACAAACAGAGCATAATTACTTCATTGCCTTTGCCTCCCTTGGAGGAAGAACTGCTCATTGAAGCAGGCATAACAGAATCCACCCCTAGAGGAATAATGATAATAACCTCGAGGTAGCTACTAGGAACCTGGGGATTCATAAAGCTTTTTGCTTTCTTAGTTTTAACACTGGCAAAATCTGTCTATAATGAATTCAGTCTATAATGAACCGAGGTGGAGGCTGAGTATGTTAACTAAAGTCTCTTGTTTCTAAACCTCATATTATTTCAAGAACACTAGATATACTCAATATTTTCACTCTGAATGAGAGTGAGGAAACATATCCACAACTGGATCCTGAGTAATTGAATACAGTTTTTTAAAATCTTGGTCTCCTGCTTAAAAGCTATGAAGTCAGCATTATTTTGTGCAAATTTCTCACAGTAACATAGAGAACTATTTAAAACTTGCTTTTCAAGAAATCTGTTAGAGGGGCCAGTAGGTGGCATGGTGGTTAAGGGCACTGGACTCCCACATGGCTAACCATGGTTCGAGGCCCAGACCTGGCAGCTTTCTTTCTCACTTTCTCTCTGGTCAAATTGAAATAAATAAATAAATGAATAAACAAATAAATAAATAAATGGATAAATAAAGTTAAGTAAAATGATTCTTTCTAAAAAAGAAACCCATTACAAAATTGATTTTAGATTCATCCTACACAGCTCCATTTCATCAAATGCAAGTAATAAATACCATGTGCTCACTATCAACATGATGTGTGAATATCCATTACTATTATTACTTGATTCTATTTGTATTAAAAAAATCAATCAATCTGTACTTAAAATAGCTATTTGAATGAAGAAATCTCATAAGATATTGAAACTTCAGGTTTCTGGGTCCTGTGAATCCTCGTGTTGATAATGCATTACTTGATTATAAGGCTACCATTAAACTGCCTGTTTTCCTAAGGCACCTCCCCCCTTTCCCTATATACACAGAGATAAAAATAAAATCAATGACTCTGGGTAACCAGCAGTTAGCGTAATGGCTATGTCGCTGGACTCCCATGTAGTCGACTGCGGTTCGTGTCCCAGACCCGGTGGCTTAAAACTCACGCCGGGCCGGGCGCGTGTGTGTACGTGCCCAGGATCCCGAGAGAAGAATGGAGGAGAAGGGATTGCGGCATGACCATCCCCCCTGGGGGGTGATTTCTCGCTTTCTGTCTCTATGTCTCTCTCTGTCTGTCTGGCGAGCCCACGCGCCCTACAGTGAAAATCTCTCAAAAAAAAAATCAATGACTCTGTAAGATTTTTTTAAAAATAATGATTATATTATAATTTTCAATTTATACATAATGGTTGTATACCTTTGTGGGGTACAATGTGATTTTTCAAGCATATATACCATGTGTAATGATCAAATCAGGGAAATAAACATATCCACCATCTTCAACATTTCACATTATTTTATGTTACACATATACAAAGTCTGCTTTTCTGGTTATTTGGAAATGTAATTAAATCATCACGTTATTTACTGTGCTATGTTAGTCTATAACTGATTCCATTTATTTACATGTACTGTTGTAGATCTTAACCAAGTTTTCCCCATCTTCCTCTCCCTCCTTCTGTTTCCAGTTTCTGGTACTCACTAATATACTCTTGCTTCCATGCAATCAAATCTTTCAGCTTCTGCTGATCAGTGAGGATGCAACAATATTTGTCTTTCAGAACCAGATTTACTTCGTGTAGGATATTCCCTCCAGGTTTGTCCATTTTGCCTTGAAAAACGAATCCATACTTCTTATCACTGACTATTCACATTCCATTTGGATATATACCACATTTTCTTTCTATTCATAAAGATTTGGGCATTTAGGTTTATTTCATACCTTAGCTATTGTGAGTAATGCTACGATATACATGGAAAGGCTGTTATCTCTTTAACAGATTGATTTCTTTTGCTTTGGGTCTGTATCCAGTAGTGGAATCAATGAATTGTAAGTTCTATATTTAGCTTTTTGAGGATCCTTTATATTATTTTCCACAATGGCTGTACTTATTCCTATCAACAGTGAATAAAGTTTCCCCTTCTCCACAGCCTCACCAGTACTTGTTATTTTTGGTTATTATTATTGTTATTATTAACATTCTAACTGGATGAGGTAACATCTCATTGTGGTTTTAATTTGCATTTCCCTGAAAATTAGAAAATGCTGAACATTTTTTTCCCACATGCTTATTGGCCATTTGTATGTCTTCCCTTAAGGATTGTTTGTTCAGTTTGATAACACATTTTATAATTGTTTTAAAATTGTTTCATTGTTTTGTTTTTTTGCTGGTGAATGTTTGAGTTTCTTAAATAATCTTGTTATTGATGACTGGTGCCAATGAACTGTAGTTTGCAAATATTTTCTCCCATTCAGTAATTGTCTCTCTTCTCTATTAATTGTTTCCTTTGCTGTGGAAAAGATTGTTAGTTGGTTGTAATCCTATTGTCTATTTTTGGTGGCATTGACCGGTGTTTTCGAGTTCTTATTCAAAAAATATTTACCTATACCAATGTCCTGAATCATTTCCCCCATGCTTTCTTTTAATAATTTTATGGTTTGGGGTCTTACATTTAAATATTTAACTCATTTTTAATGTACATTTTATCATTGTATGTCTTTACAGCATATGACATGGGTTCTGAAAGCATAAATGCAGTGCATTTCAAACAAATCAAAGATATCACTGTACACAATAACCTCCTATTCTTGTGTCTGCTAAGTGTTTTTTATCCCTGAAAAGATTATACAGTCTCTGGTATCTATATTTGCTGTCTCTGCTATTATATCTGTCAATTTTTCATTTTCTTACATAAGGTACAGACACTCAGTATATAGTAAGCTAAAACCTATAATGTCTGTGTTCCATACTCTAGCTTGCTTCATTCAGCATTAAATTTTCTATATTCATCCACTTTGCATTAGATGACAAAGTCTAATTGTTTTTTATGGCAGAGTAGTATTCCATAGAACATATGTGCTACATTTTTTCAATCTAGTTATCTGTTCTTGGGCATTTAGGTTGATTACATGTCTTAGTAATTGTGAATAATTCTGTAATAAAAATAGATGTGCAAGTGTCTTTCTGACTGTTTTCCTACTCTTTGCATAAATGCCCAGGAGAGGTATGACTGGGTTGTATGGTAGTTCTATTTGTAGGTTTTTGAGGAACCTCTGTGTTGTTCTCCACAGCATCTGTTCTAGTTTACACTACAATCAACAGTGTAGGAGGGCTTCCCTTTCACCACAGCCTCAAAAGCACTTGTCATTCTTGGAACCAGCAGTTGGTGTAATGGCTATGTCACTGGATTCCCATGTAGTCAACTGTAGTTCAAATCCTGAACTCGGTGGCTTACATTCATGCCAGGAGCGTGTGCATGCATGCCCAAGATCCCAAGAGGAGAATGGAGGAGAAGGGATTGTGGTGTGGCCATCCACACTGGAGGGTGATTTCTCACATTCCATCTCTCTGTTTTTCTGGTGAGTGCACACACCCTATAGCAAAAACCTCTCCAAAAACAAGAAAACAAACAAACAAAAGACAGCACTTGTAGTTCTCTATTGGGATTAAATGGTATCTCATTGTGGTTTTTGATTTGCATTTCCCTTTGAACACTTTTCATATTAAATACCTAAATATCCACATAATAGGTATTTTAGAATGTGAAT